CTCTCCATCCATCCGAGGCGTTGTGAGAAGAAAGGCAGGAGGCGGCTGGGAGCTGACCCGCAGAGCCAAGCCCTGGCGTGTGAGGGGTGGGCAGGGGGACAGCAAGCTTCCCTCTTGCCTTCCCTGGAGATTTGAGATCTCGCGTAGACCATGAACGGATCCTTTTTCAACCAGACTTTCCTAGAGCAGGGAGCTTACCCCAACAGGACCCAGGGCTTGGGGATGCTCATGGCCTGTTGCAATGGGACCAGCTCGGTGCTGGCGACCGACGGCGGCTCCCCCGTCCTGGCCCCGGATGAGAGGAGCCTGTACATCACACGGGTGGTGCAGATCGCCGTCCTCTGTGTCCTCTCCTTGACTGTGATGTTCGGCATCTTCTTTTTGGGCTGCAACTTGCTCATCAAGTCAGAAAGCATGATTAACTTTCTGGTGAAGGACCGAAGACCTTCCAAGGATGTGGGAGCTGCAATCATGGGACTTTACTGAAGCCACCGGGCTTTTGTAGGCAAGTGAACTGTCTGGACCTGGTGCTGAGATGCAGATTCCCATGTGTTTGGGGCAGCTGGGGGGGGGGAGTGGAAAGGGAGGAGGGCTCTTTTAATGTGTCTGTGTCCATGGGAAAGCAAATCTGCGCTTTCCAGCCAACAAACCCTGTCCTGGTGAACAGGGAGATCTCCCCAGAGTCATATGAAGCACAATAAACGACCAGCATTGTGTTGCATGCAGAAATGGCTTAAGTTTTGCATGAAACTTGCAGAAACAGTGATAATGTGCAGATCTGGACTCTTTTCTGCTGTTTCCTTGGATACCGCTACCTGGGATTTAGGGCTAAAAAAATTTAAAAAAAAAGGCAAAAAAAAAGGCAAATAACTCACTGCAAAAAGAAAACAACCAACCAACCTAAAGGGAAAGCAAAATGCACGGCACGGACCACATCTTGACCATGGGAAGGGAAGTGCCGTGTGTGTTGTACAACGAAGCCTGCATGCTACAACATGTGTCAGTCTGTTTGTATTTCGGACCGCAAGCATGCATCTTCTGGTAGAGTTTTGTAATGGGGAAAGCATGTTCTTCCTTATTTTTCTGAGCTATTAAATAAACTGGCACTCTCTTCTTTCACGCTCTGCTGAAAGAAGAAAAGGACCCAGATGATAAATACAAAAACCCCACTCCAACCCCCAAACAAAAGCATGCTTGGTTTTGTACACAGCAGCCTTTTTTCAAGTGCTATATTGTTACAGTCCTTGAGGTTTTTGTATAGTTTTTTGAAAACTGGTGAACGTTCAGGAAAAAAAAGATCCTGTTTCAAAAGACTTTGGTGGTGTCTTCATTTTCCTTCTGTGTGTGTGTGTGTAGCTCAGGTATTTCAAACCTAGCTTCAGATATAATAATCTCACCTTCCAATTGAACTCTAATTAGAGATACTTATTTCAAGCAGAAACTACCATCCATTTCTCACAGGGAAGTATCAGTTACCACTAGCAAATCCATTTGTCAGGAACTACGTATTCTGAGCTCGTGTTAAATACCTGCACAGCACTGAAGCAGAGATTCATAAGGATGCACTGAGTGCCTCTTGCAAAGCAAGATTTCAGCCTCCGAGTTAAAATCTCCAGCTCCTCTGATCCTGATGAGCTGTCAAAACTAAATTATGTGAGAGGAGGAGGACTCCTGACCTTTGTTCTGTGATGGAATTACAGCTCAGCCTGTGGGTGTGAGATGGAAATAATTTGAGTTTTGTTGTGCCAACAATATTCCT